AAATTTAAGAATCATTAGCGTGATTCCCATCTTACAACAGCTTATTTATAAAAAATCTTCTGACTTAGGATATTAAGAAATGGATAAGATTTAAGCTGTAAACTATAAAAGTATATAAGTAAGAACGACTGATAAGACCTGCTCATCATATCTTGTTCTTTGTGAAGATCTAAATGTTCAATGCATAGACAGAAACGCTCGTGACAATAAGAACATATTTGGATATTTATTCCTCTTACGCTTTCGCTTCTGGTTTTTAAACTCTTATATGTTATGATTGCAATAGTTTGATAATTTCAAAGCGTACTCTTGTTTCTAATTACTTGGTTTTATACTTAAATTGATACATAATCCATACAACTATGATGCAAAATGGGTGAAAATGTTTCTTAAAAACCGGAATCCATAGAGGACGTTAAGATTATTTTTGCTGACAATTCTGACAATGCCAGGCTGTTCAGAGAAAAGAAAAGCTAAGATTTATAAATAACTTAAATGTCAAAAGTAATTAAAAGAAGAAAACTTACTTCTATTCATTCAAATTAGTTGAAATTACCTATTACCAAATACCGTCTCTTATGTTTTGTTTGTTTCAGTTTTACAGTCTGAAAAATACATTCCTTCCACATGCAAAACTTTTCTTGATGACATTTGGGGATATGTAAGTATCCTACGAGCAATAACTGCCGTATGTTTTATGAAAACTGGAAAAGCAATGACAGCCATCAGCCCGAAGAATAAGTAAACAATCCAGCGTTCGTTAGGCAGACTTTCAACAATTCCAATTTCCTGGCCGCTTTGTGTACACTTCTGTCAACACTTATTTATTGTCTGTTACAATCCTCAAATAAGTTTTCTTTCTTTTAAAAATGTGTATGACTAACAAATCCAAATGATATCCCTCTGAAACAAACACAATTATTTTCAACCCGTGAAATACACAACTTTTAAAAATGCGGCCGCTTCATTTAACAAAGCCACGTCTAATATAAATTCGCAGTAAGTAACAGAAATATGGATGGCTGGTTGGACTTTTTCTCCTACAAGAATTGTTTGTTATTATCATTAAAACAAGCGATCATTCATATTTTTTTAATAAAATGAATAATATCACCGTCATTTAACGTTGAGTTTCGAACTTATTTTTCATCCCAAGACTTCTTGTTTTTAATGAGCAATTTGACTAAATGAGGCTCTCAGTGGGGAAAACAGATCTTAATATTAACGTTAATATTTAGGGAATTTTGTTTTCAAGCATAAAATATAAAGAAAATTTGTTTGTTTGTTGTGTAAGATGTAATGCTATTTCATCTCGTGAGAATACTGTTTTTAAAGCCCACTAGATGAAATAAAATTTTACCTTACACACAAACAAACAAATTACTTTTTATACTTTATGCAAGCTTTAATAGCTTTTAATAGTTTTGTTAAATGATGGCAATTTCTTTTTTTATATAAATCTGTTTTTCGTAAATTTTGTCGGTGTATTTGGGCAAATTATGGCACAAAATGTTGTGTCCTATTGAAGTTTTCGAAACAGTACTAACTAGCCATTCTTGTTTTACTTTGAATCATGGTTTACTTTTATATCATAGAAAGAAGGGATAATGTATGTGATGGACATTACATCCATTATGAAGCCATACCGAGAATCAAAGTATGATTTGATTCTTTTATAAGACCAATGAAGTTTGTTTATAATATCTTATATAGTAAAAAGAAACAAGTTATTATATACTATTTGAAATGTGATATAAATGTAATTTTAAAAAACGTAACTATGTATAACAAAAAAAATTAAAATAAGAGGTTCGCCAACATATTTATTTCCAAATACATTAACCCTAAGTCCGTACAGACATTGCTGTATGGTCACGTTTACATGTTTTTTTTTTATTTAAAAAAATATGTCTATTTTCATTGTTTATCCATAAATTTGTCAAAAGATGCTTGACAGTATGATATATGCTTTAATGCACTTCCTATACAGGAATATTAACAACCTAACAAATACGTTCGTATTTGGACGTGCGAGAAGTAAACAGAAACTATGACAGGTAAATGATAACAAACTTCAATATGTTAATATGTGGATCATGAGAGGTCAAAGTAATAATTATTTATTTATTAAAGTGGCATTATGCCCATCCAAAAGTAAAAAGTAAGTAAATGGTAATTATTCAGATAAAATTGAAATAACTCAACCACGTTTTATTTTTGTTTTCAATTTTGCTTTTAAAGTCACGGAAGTAACTTATACCTCCGTGACCCACATAAATATCTTATTTCTTTCGGAAATCATCGGTTATCCTCAATTTAAAAGAGTTGGAACAGTGTAGCAATTTTTATATTTTATCTTTAATGTTAGTTATTTTTCATTTATTTTTCAATCGCCATTAAAGGAAAATCAATGAAATATACAACTACTTCATCTCAGTTTGAAAGAGAAAATTGAACATACTGTCACTTTAATAAATCAACATGGCTATTTTTTAACAATGATTTCCTCAGACATACAAAACATTTGTTCCGGTCTTTCAGTACAAATGCACTGTATAAAATATAAAAATAATTAATTCGAGTGATGAATCATTATCAATAATAAAACAGTATACGTACTTAATGTATATAATGGAATAAATGAACGTCGGTGGCCTTTCGCAGATGCCCGAAGAAGTAACCCCCCCCCCCCCCAAATAAAAAGAATGAAAGAGCATGTCATACCTCATTTTCAAAAATTGTGTATATGTTATACCTGGGGCATAGAATATATAATGTTGGTAACATTGATTCTCCAAAAAAAGATATTTGCATGTTTTTATAGTATTTTGTTCAGCTTTGTTTGTTTGTTTTGGGAAACTTGTGTTTTTTTTTTCTCTTTATTTTTTATCTTGTTTTTTGAAAGAAATAGAAATATGTTGATTTTTCAAAACTATTACTTTGCTACTATAACGAATAAATATTCAGCTCATGCAGAAAAAAACTTATCCGGGAGACAGAGGAACTCGTGACAATTTGATATATTTAATTTTAAAAATGCCTTCCATTTTAGCAATTTAGTGAAATGATAAGTGGATCGTTGTTATATTTAAATATTTAATTGCTCAATTAAAATATATCCCTTAAATGCATTTTTGCACTTTGCTGATCTCATATGTATGTGGTAAATATGTCTCATCAATACATAATGAGCTAAAAGGTCAATTAAAATGGTATGTTACATATAACTATTTCTAGAGAAGCATTACGAAACGATCACGCATGGGCACGTGTTGCCACGTTATATAAATAACAGAATGCGTGCTAATCGAATGTTAATTAACGAATGACAAACAACAAAATTAAGATTATTTATTTAATAGGGGGGCACAATAAAGCAGCATAATCGTTACTTACACTCCAGTGCGTTGCCGAAATATAAAGGTATATACAAGGTAGTAGGGTGTAGATAAAATAAAAGATGAGAAAAGGTCTTCTACCACTTCTTTACCCTCAGCAAAAAAAAGAAATGTAGCAGTATGAATTAAAAATGAATTGAAGTTAAACTTTTAAATAGATAAACATGTATGTTATATCATCAATCTACATATCTAACAATGTTTCCGCTTTGAAATATTCGCCGATGTGCTATTATATTCAATATAGTGCCTTGCATGTCCCTTAAAAATAATAATTATATAAAAGAGCAACACGAGATGTTATTTAAGCATAGTAATTAACCTTCATTCGTTTTCATTGCTTCAAAGGGATATTTATTTTGCAAAACTTTTGCTAAAAACTTTCAAGACGTGATTTTCCGGGATAAATTATTGTACAGTTATGAAAGTCAGACATATTTATAGATTTGCTTAAAGAAGCAAGTCAAGTAGTCACGTAATACGTTTAATTTAAGAACAGTTAGTCATCCATCGAGCTGTTATGTTTCTGTAGAGATGTGATATGCCAAACTTTAAAGGATTGATGGATATCCACTATATGCACGTACAAAGATGTGTCTGAATAAAGTGATTTCTAACGTGGCCAATCCTTCATTTTGTCATTGTTCAAAATATTACGCTATCAATTTATTAGGCATATCATTAGTCTATTATAAAGCGTGTTTTAAGCGCATAAATAGTGATGCCTTACATCGACAAAGCATGAACGAAAACACAGTATAAAGACTATATTTATTATTTCTTTCAATTAAGTAATTTGACGTCTTATATATTTATGTGTCATTTCTGTAATGATGTTATTATATGTTAAATATATACCTTTGAACAACGCTTTAGGCGTGAATTTAAAATTAAACTCTTTAGGCGTGACTCAACCGTCGTGCTTCCATACCTTATAATCAATTATTGAGATGCAGTACTTTTATATGGTATCATCTGATTTTATATTGCCCAGCACATTGAAAATTATGATCAGTAAAAAAATCTAAATGTAATTGAAGGCAATTATTGAACCTTACTTTTGAGCTTCCAAAGCGCCACAGTAAAATGATACAAAGTTTTTTTTACTTAAATAAGGTCAGTCTAAATGAACAAACTCTATATAAAAAGAGTATGTTTTGATTTGATTTTATAAGGAATATTGTCATAGTTTGAAGTGTCGTAAAAACTCTTTACATTTAAGCAGTTTTGTCAAATCTTTGTTTTTCATAGCACAATGCGTGCTATATATTCTTACATATGATATATTATGGTTGTTTTAAAAGAATCTATTTCTATAAGAATATTAAGAAATATACCAAAAGTTATATAAATAATGCAGCAACTGAAAGCTTGTTTAATGTCATAGTGCACTATATTTAAATGAAAAACAAGGGGTTGAAATTTGTTCCAATTGTATATCCCCTATCTGTCAAGCAATGATTTTTCTGTTCAAATCCTACTTTTAAGGTCAAGGGAGCCGAATGAAACTGTTTCAAATTTTCGTTATAATCAATCTAAAATAATAATTATAACTAAATAACATAAAGGAGATAGAAAATAAAACATAACTCGAAATAGATGTCATTGTATTTATAATCAACTTTTTTTTTGTCATGTTATGAAAGATATTATAATAGAGACGTTCAATATTACAATTTTGTGGAACTGTTTAAATGCATAATGAAATGGCTAAGGCAGCAATTGAATTTAGAAAGAATCAACAACTATATTCTTTTCCAACGAATGTAGTTGAAAGAATAGCAGTTTCATTTGCGGTAGTGATGTAAAATCCCATTTTGAAAAGATATATCCTAACTTATAAGTTTGCCTACATCAGATAAGTAAAGATGCTAGCTGCAAACTACATGTACTTATAACAGTTGACAGTATCAAATTACTTAAAATAAGTATACAGTCTTAAATAATGATTATCAACTTATTGGACAATAATAGCATTTAATGATACTTTACTTTCCAAAATATTAAAAACATAGATACACATATCATTTACATGTTTTTTGTCTCACAAATGATAAATTAAATGTAAATCTATGTAAATCTATGTATCCATGAAGCAGCAACAATTTGTTCATGTACAGGTAAATTTTCTTTAAACACAACTTTTTAAACCTCACCCTCCCCAAAAGTTAAACTGTCAGGTTCACCCTTTACACAGTCATTATGTTCACTCTGCCATGATAATGTTTTGAATTTCTCTTTTGTCATTGCACGACTTTTGCGTGGCCATGTAGCATGTTCATGACACATATTATTCAATTTGCACGTATCAGTACATGTGCCATTTGGGTGAATATTGCAGTCGCTGCTGATACGGGTATCACGTGTCGTATCACGTGACATTCTCCGTGACGATTTACGCCAAGAAGAGAGTAAAATGGAACGTGTGTTGTTTGAATTTAATCTTCGTTTGAAACACCATTTTCGTATTTCATTCTGTACCTGCACAATAAAATTTTACTAATATTATAAGTTAATTTGTCATTCCAACAAAAAAACATTTACATATCATTTAACAGTTTAGCTTTTACTAGCCTTAAGCAAGAATCTAGAGAATCAAGAAGCTAGAACCTAGTTCTTTTAAAGAGTCTTTAAAAAGATATTTCATAGCAATAATGACATGAATTGTATGAATGAGTTTATGTTATACGTCTTATATTTACGTTTCCAACCAAAATTGTTTCAATGATAAAATTAAGCCTAGATTCAAATCATTTTTATTCAAACAGAAAGACAGAAAAACGAGAAAAGAAATCCGCAACATGAGCATGCTTGAAAATGAGAAACTTATGTCAAGATGTCAGAAGAAATAAAGGAACCTGCTTGCAGAAATATAAGACATGATGTGCTCTCTGATAAGTCATAAGCTTTTCTGGATTGAATTGTAAACTGTGAAAATGCCAGAAAAGATATAATTACCTCTTCGTTAAGGAAGCAAAACAACAAAGCTAAAACAAATCCCTGAAAAAAGAGAAAAATCATTTTCATTGTTAAATACGGACTCGGATAAGTATTGATATTATTTGTCTCATATTTTACCATTTTTCCCTTAGAATTCTATTTAAGTATTTCAACCCTTTGCTGACATAGAAAATATACAATAATTATTGATACTTTTTTCATTTACATGCCTTATCTATTGATATAGACGTACTCTGATTTTTATTTGAATAACGCACACGTTGATATGTGTTATATCTTTCAAAGAAATGTTGTGGTGAAATTCTCATTATATCCATTAATCTGATAATTATAATTAGACAGGTCAGGGATATATGTATTGCCTCACTTTACAAATTTGATTCAATGTGTTGTTAGTGTCATTTAATAAGAGAAAGTAGAAAATTGTAGTATCATACTTTGTATAAACATACTATTCTTAATTTGATATATAAGGATCCCTTCAAAGACCGCTTTTAATTAGTTTTAATTAAAGCCCAGGAAATTGGCGGAAACGTGATTTCATATCAAAATTATAATATTGAACTCAAAAACGTTTTATACTTGTTTATATAAAAAATTAATAAATAGTTCAAATAACAAATATAATGCCTCTTTTTCTTATAATAATGTTTACGTCTATTTATTTCATTTTCTTTTTTTTTATTTGTTTTTCTTTTTTCTTTTGTTGTAGAAATATCTCGCTCAAATCAATATGAGGAGTTTTTAATTTTGGCTCCAAAACAAACTTTACGTAATACTATTTTTTTCTTATTTTCAACAGTAATATTCTTAGCTAAACTTTGCATAACAAAAAACATAAAATATTATTTAATCAAAGTTTATTATCAAAAAAAAAGAAATATCAAATAAATACCAGTAATTTGAGAAAAACTTACTTGGAATGAATTATAAAACATTTCACAATACAGGTAAATGAAATCTGCTTCCATACTAAACACACCAACCGGGTAAGCGTTAAACGCAATATATACCACCCCAAATAGTGGTAAAAGCACCAAAACAAACTTTGCAGTCTTCCTTTAATATATAATAATTACATTGGTAAATAGAAGTATCGTGTTCTGGATTTTTTGAACTTAGATATATCATACATTTGTTTCATATTTCTGACAATCTAGTTAGATTTATATGTTTCATATCAGTTTTTGGTTGACTACGAATGATAAATAATTCGATAAAATGTGTGTCTTATTGTTGTAATTATGTAAAAAAAAACATTGTGATGGAAGATCAAAGTGAAAAGAAAATGTCATTGCTCTTACTTTAAAATCACTTATAGCTGCTTAAATAATCATTTAATATTTTCTAAAGGTAATCTGCAGCTATTGCGTTTGTTATTAACATGTCAAGATTTTGAATAGCCCAATTTCGTCAAGAAGCTATATCAGCTATATTATTCATTCCTATTATTTATGTATTGAGTAAAGAAATGTTACAGTAAACAATCATGATCTAATCTGCAATAAATGCATATACAAATAGTGATATATATTTTAAGGAATAACTATTCGAAAATAATAATGATAAATATAGTCTGAAAATTTTTGTAAAATTAACGACCATTTGTAATTTAAAACACTAAAAGAATGGGTAGATTTTTATAAGAAGGCGCCGGTAACCATAGGTTATAAGGTAGAATTCCATGGATTTATTTCTGTGAAGTCTTACCTCCAGTACTTTGCATCACTTTTTACATGTCGACTTAACTTTGACTTTACGCATAGCACTCTCACAATATTGATGAAAAATAGAAAATTTATCTGTAAAGAACAACAAAGTCAATTTAATAATCATACTCATTGTTCTATAAAATATATCATTGAAGTAATACCATCATTAATTGCTTTATTTATGCAAAAGTTCATTTTTCCTTTCTTCAAAATATTTTATCAAATTTTGTGACTGGCAATGAAATCGAAGTTGTTAAAATACTAAATGTTCTGGCTGAGGTATGAGGTACAACATGTCAAAAGTAAAACAAATATTGTATAAATGACTTACAACGTTCATGCAGTAAAATGTTTACAAACTTACAAGAATAGAAAGATGCATTGGTGCTTTAATAATCCAAAAATATCCACCCGTATTTTGCCGATTCCAACACCTAGATATTTTAAAAGAAAGAAAAACAAAAAAATCCAAATAAAAACCTTATTGCAACAATTATTTTGTAAAAGAGGATAAACGTCTGCAGACAACAATTTTGAATAAGAAGTCTTACTTTTTGTAGAAACAATAAAGTTAAGGTCTACAAACTGTCGAATGCATTGCCAATGAAAAACAACAAATTTTACATCATATAAAACTGTGTTATAAGAACTAAACGAAACTTCAGTGCTAAAATAATTAAATCGTGATAATTTGTTTTCATTTTGCATATAAACAAATATGTAATCACATCTTTTTTAAAGTAGGTAAGCAATAGTATTAAAATATACATTCATGACTTGAGGTGACAAACTTAAATGATTCGGATCAACTTACAAATCGTTGTCCTTGAAAATTCGTACTACAATCCATGGTGTCACAAAGGTGAATGAAGAAACTGAAATATACATTAAGGCTGGCGTTTACACATTGACACCTGAACTAAGGTAACGTTTATTTTAGTGGCTGTTTCATAAGCAAATAATAATAATGCATTTCGGACATAATGTATAGTTTGAAGACAATTAGAATGAAAAAGTAAATTAATAAATTACATGGAAACGTTTTGAATAGTAGAATAATGAAAGCTTCAAAATTTGAGCGATTAGAAATAACAGATAACAGTTCTTTACTTTGAAATTACTATCATATTTATTCATTACTTACACCAACCGAATAACACATATAAGCGTGTACCATGTCTCTCTGTAAAAAGTGTTTTGTATACAAGCATATGTAGATATAGTCCCTCCATCAAGATCCACATCATACTAGTCGCAACGGAATACATAAATATACTCACTATCAACTTACATTCCCAATGCTAAAGGAATCAGAAAAAGAATATATAATTTAATTTGATGGAGGAAACTATTGTGATTTGACAACAAAATTGTGCATGAATTAAAAATGGAATTATTGATGTCAGAATTGAAGATTATATAAAACAAGTACAAAAAAAACATTATTTTATTTAATTGCTTTTGATAAAAACATGAAGTTATTTCCTTATGATAAAAAGTAATTATGTTATATTTCAAAATATTTACAGACACGTTCTTGCCATTTTAACAAATATTGTTATAATGCTATATAATTACCAGTCCATTTTCTTTAAATTCTATGGTCCCTCCTGGATTACGAATAATGTCTTTCTCTAAACCAATATCGTCAACAAAGAATGACGATTTTAGAAAAGAAACCGAAGCTCGTAGAATAAATGCACAGAATAGGTTTATATGTAGCACGTTACTTTTGCAGTGAAGCCGTCTGAAAAAATACACCCATTGGTTAATATAAGGTACACCTTTGAACGGTCTTAAAAGACAATCATATGAATATGAAATATTTACAACAATTTATGCTGCATATCAAACATTTGATATGAACAATTGATTATTATTGTATCATAGTTTCTATGAAAACATGTCCGAGTTAAATCGCACATAGACAGTGCGTTAACTGGAGTTCAAGTATATGGAAGTTTGTTATGCCCCCTAGTAAAATCAGGTGTTTCGTGTTTCGATGGTCCTTCTATTACTTTTTGTATATAGAAATGTATTATAAAAACAAAATATTTAATAACTTAATACATGTACTTACTTTCTATTTTATTAAAATAATGATATATCATAAGCTTGTGTGTATGCCTGCGTAACGGTTCTAATTAATTTTTGTTTTTCTCTGTGCCATGTAATTCTAATGTATTGTATGTGATATAATCAAATAGCGAGATTCAGGGCTGAACAAAAGTCATTGACATTCATTATTAATATAACTGAGAAAATATCATCTGGCAGTTGTATCAAAACTAAAGACTTTCAAAACGATTTAAGAGAAATGTGTTCCTGTTACCTAGACGCTATCATAATTGTTACAGCTACGATAAGTGATGCCAATGATATTCCGTAGCCTATCTCTGACATCAGTTGTATACGTGTTAGATGATCCTACAATGTAAATCATATATAGTTAAGTACATTCATTTGAAAACAAAATGAACTGTTTCTCATATAAAAAGTCACAAGAAAGGCTTAATGGGAGAGGACATTTATAAGCTTTATAGCTTTCTGTCCAATCCCAAAATGTACTTTGTAAATATTGTTCACTTGTTAAATGTTTTGTTGAATAAATATGTTTAAACCAAGTATCTTTTCTCAAATTAAAGAATCAAAATATATTATTTCCGTTATTAGAGTAAACACGGACTTACATTTTTGTCTATCGGAACCTGGGGTTTTGGGTTATTACGAAGGCAATTTGTATAATTGGTCCAACCAACAGTATTGTTTGTTTCTACAAAGTTTGGTTTCCATGTACCATCTGGCAAACATTCTCGTGTCGCAAATTCTAAAATAGCAAATTTGAAATAGTTATGTGTATTATATTCCGTCGTCGGACATTTGTTTTCCTAATGTGAGGTGAAATAACGGTATCAGTATAAATATATGTTACTCTTATGCAAAATGTTTTAATTTTCATGACAAAGAAAGATGTGAATATTAATTCATTTGATGAAATGTGTCAAGGAAGAAACATTGTATTGTATGATTTTCGCATATGAAACATTTATTTCGATTCTGATGGTGACCTTTCTTTTGAAGTACTTGCAATAAATGGTTTTGTATTTTTATCATGTCTTATGGAAACTCCGGAATATGTTTTCTGTTACGAAACGTTTAGAACAATGCCTGCAGTACACAGAAAGTTCCATTGTACTTTTGTAGTGTTTGTTTTTATCTATAGTAAGATATCATACAGCTTTACAAAATAATAACACATATAGGCATAAATTACATCTGCAAAAATTTGATAAACACATTATTTTGGTTTTCAAACAAATAATGAGTTTGTATTTCCAGGGAAATGAAGCCAGTGTTCTATGAATTACAATGTCCAAGAAGCCGTTTCTCTTCTATTTTCGTGTGTATTCTGTGTTAGTTATAGAAACACTATAACTGTGTAAATAATAGAAAGATTATTATATTTGCCAATTATTTTTGGAAATGAAACACATCAATTCTTGTCAGCCATCTATCTTCATTATGATCATAAAGTAAACAAGGAGTGAGACTTGGCACAATATTCTTTAGATCTGCATGATCATTCCATATATATTCTGATTGATATCTTATAAATTCAAGCGAGATTATTCTTATCTTGACACCGTTGCAGATAAATTGTTCTTGTTGCCAATGAAAAAAATATATTCTGAAAGATTTGAAGACATAATAGATGATAAACCTTAAGTTGGAGCTGTTGTCGGTCAGGTAATCATAAAAAAACACAGATGTTTTTTTCTGAGAAGAGTGGGAGGTTAAATTCAAACAGATGTTTTAATAATGATAGTAAAATTAAGAATTTTGAAAGTTATAAAAGAAAGCACCATACGGGATATTATTCATTGTTAGAGAGCAGGTATTTATTCTTTAAAATATGTGTTGATGTAGCTATTATCTAAGTTATTTGCCAAATAAAATACACATCAACCTTTTCAAAGAGTGATAATATACCGGTATTTATCTCTTATGAGCAAATAGTAAATCATTATTTTTATATCAGTAACGCAATGAATTGTCAAAACATATCAGAAACTCGTCATTCACCAAAAAACAAACATATTTGTCCAATTGGACCTTAATACTTGTCATCATTTTTTGAGTCAGTTCTCATCTATCATAAACTTCAAAATAACAGTATAAAGTGAAATGAGAAATATATGTGTTGCAATTTATTTATTCTAGTTCTTCAACCGAACACAATAATGAAATGAATTTGGCAGCTTTTACGACAGATTTAAAGAACTTATCTAGTCGCAAAAGGTTTCTCATTTCTTTATTGTGTGTATATAAATTTGGTGGCATATATATATTTGACGATATGGTGAAGAAACATTCGTAATTAATTCAAACTTTATGCTCGTCAGTATTGAAATAAATTTATTATCCAATATAGGACAAATTCATTTCATCCAATAATTATATCGAAAATGAAATATTGTTATATCTATCAGCTTTCATATAATGAAATATTACACTTGATTGCAAACAATTAAATTTGATATAATTTTCAATTTAATAATAACAACAAAGTGATGTTTAATTTGCTGGAATTGCCATTTGGGAAATGTAAATTTTGTATCATTCGAAAAATATATTGTAGATGAAAATAAATTATATAATTGTGAATGACATATTGTGATTTTAAACATTAGCGGAAAGAATTTAAAGAAAGTTATTGTACAGTTGTGACATGGCATTTACAGAATGTTTCAACAAATGTTATTGCACATTTGTGACCAGAAGTGTTTTTTTTTATATATATATAATTAACATGCATATAGGCCATGTCTGCACAGTAATACACATGCACAAGATAATTTTGTAATATATGTCTGTAGCTAGACTAAGTATACCGGTAAATTTTAGTCGTTAACTGATTGATATTATTATCTTAACAGAAAAATATATAAAACTTCGGATACCAAAAAATACACAAAGGCTTACATATGTAAGTTTATAAATGAGAAAGAGGAGGGAACTTATTCAAAATATATTAACATGAATTTTCTTAGTAATCTTTTAATATTTGAATATGTTGATTTGCTATTGCAAACATTCTTTAGAAGGAATTGAGGAATAAGTATGAATTATGCCAGTCACCTTTTAAGTATATGGCATCTAAAGAAACGAACTGATTAAGGCAGTTTTTCTATAATCCTGGGACAGGATTACAAAACAACGAGTTTGAAACAATATTTGCGCACAGTTTTATGATTTTCCGTCTTAATTAAATATAAATGTAACACTTTTATAAGTAATTTCCAACTTACGACCATAAACAACGGTAATTTCTACTTTTGCAAATTAAGCATATTCCCTTAACTGTTTCATCATAATTACAAGAATTTTGGGTTAAAGAATATATTGAACCATAATATTGCCATATTCCACAAGGAAAAAATAAATCTTATTCTGATCACAAAACACTTCCTTTATATATCATATGTAATAGCCATAAGGATTCCATTGTTGATGTTTATTTCTGCTAAATCAACGGAAAAAAAACTATTTAGAGTTTTAAAAGAATTATTTAGATATATACCCCAAAATAAACAACAACATGCAATATTGATAGTATTCGCTATGGGAAATCAATGCTTTTAAACAAATGAGTGCAGGGTAACTTTATATAAGCAAACGCTTGAGATCAAACCTTTTGAATACTTCTTGCAACAGTTGTTTAAAGTTAACGTTTCCAAAGAACATAATTTAAGTATGGCACACGTGTAATCGATGTTTCGTTTTTGTTAATCAAAGTTAACCAAATGTTTGCTATGTTGAAATTGATTAAAAAACCGAGTAAAGGTAAAATATCTTGAAATCCTTGCAAAATAAAACATATAACTAAACATGAACAAACCTACGTTTAAATAAAAAGTAAAATTAAAGTTTATTCACACACCTATCTATTTAAAAAAAAAACTTGGAAATACGCTGCACGTTAAATTTTCTAGGTATACATAGCTTTAGCTTTTATGTATTGTATAATTTGCCTTATCATTTCAAGCCGGTCAATTTGATCGACTTTCGCGATATTGATTGACAACCGATCTGCTTTGGCTCAGATATTCGGAATATATCACTGACAGTTTCAAATATATCAAACTTATCTCAGACAATTAATCAATAAATAAATTAGAATAAAGGAAAATCATCTATATCATTAAAAGACGACAGAGCATGTCAGTCAGAACAATAGTTCCTCTTTGCACTAATGTTGCTGGATTTGTGTAAATGGTTGGTGCACATGAAAATAACTTTAAATTACATTTTTCACAAACTTTCGTTTAATTTTATTTTTAACTTAAACATACTCAATAATTCACGTGATTCACTGACATTTTTATAAAATCATTCGAAATTGGTAACGTTCGTTTTTTGAATAGACCTTTTATGGTTCACTTAAAGGTGTTTTTATATTTTATATCTGATTCATAGATATTTTTCAATATCAATTACAACTGGTAACTTGAAATAAATTACTTATTCAACTCATTTTGACTGCGAAAAAATGAACACAATGTCACTGTTAACAATATGTTTGTAATATGAAATGTATTCATTAACATATGATATTAGAAATGATAGATCTAGTGAAATGGTAAGTTTTGCGTAAGAGTATTTTCTCCAAAATGTAATGGCAAAATATTATATTGGTGTGTGGATAAAAAACAAACTGCATTCTACAACCAGAAAATCGATATTCATATTAAAACTGCTGTTTTTTATCTAACTAAACCAATACTGATAAGCTTTTGTTGTATAAAATCTTTGTCACTGCAAAATGAAGTATTTCGGCCTTTAATATATAGAATATGTGTTCAGCAGGGCTAATTCATTGCAAAAAAAACAAAAACATTTTTACTTGCCGGCTTATCATGTTAATCCATTTTTATAGGTAACTCAATAATTTTGAATTGTATTATCGTCTTAAATAGAGGTGTTTGTAAAGTTTTTACTTCTTTATATTTGAAAAAGTGGAACGCACTTAATTTATTGACAACTGAAGCATTGATGTGCAGTGTAATGAACAAATTTCTTTAGTAAGAAACCAAAACCTGTACAACTTTGAACTGCTTACTATTTTTATTCTAGAAAGGAATTTCTGATTTGAATAGTAACCGTTTTTATTAAAAGCAAACCATTTTTTTGTATAATACAAAAGTAGCAATTCCTACTCATGTCGAATTAAAGATAACATCAATGCTTAATTTAAAATACAGATTTTCAAGTTACGCAATACAGTATTTAATTCAATATAGAAAAACGAAGACATTTTAAGGGCAAAGCAAACCATTATCAAATGTGAAAATTTGCAGTCTTTATTTCATTTTGTTTGTTCATGAGAAATCATAACACATCATGTCTCAGGTTCGTGCAGATAAATAAAGATATCTTAATCAAACACAAATTTGGTTAACAAGTAAATTGTAAGATGTATCATTCATTTATTCGTTTATTAGAATGAAAATAAGCTTGACAAAAAAAAAAAAACACACACACAAAATACATCATTGCTTATATTGTTAATATGACCGCCAGTTTTTGTTTTGTATATCCATAAATATTTGTGACATATTCGTCAGTCCTATTGTTTAATTAAATGTCAGAAAAAGGTAAGAACAACATAAAATAACGCTTCAAAATTTACATGATTACTTATCTGAAGGTTTTAAGTAGTTATCAAAGTGTTTGTTATATACCTGATGGATTAAAACTTGGAATATATTTTGCGCAATGCTGTTTTGCTGTAGAACCCGCTGATGTAAAGTCCCAACACATCGCACCATCCCATGTTGCATTACAGTACAATCCTAGAGAAGTAAAAAAGAACTTTAAAATAAACACATTCTAGTGGGAAAATGATAAACAAAATCGTCAGTATAACTGGAAGTAAAACCAATCATATATCATTTTTTGTATTCATTTGAGGATCCTATATTTCATATTGTCAATGTTGACATAATTTATAGTTTAAAATTTTATATAACCAACATGTTATTTTTTTTGGAGTTGATTCATATAAAGTACCACGGTAACAGTGTCTGTGACGGATGAGTTTTATCTAGCTCTCTTAAATATCAGTCATAAGTTTAGCAGTAAATCATTTGACAGAATTTAATTAAAAATAAAGTAACAAATACAGATAGCTATTAGGTTACCTGATAAGAAATTACTTGAATATTAAATTTTATTGTTCAATTTAACCGATTGATTTTTATCTAACCTGATCTAGGGGGTTCTTGTCTTACCCTTTCCTCACACAATCGCTTCATTTTCTGTACAATTAGTGCCATATTTGGTCTAATACAACTGATTCAAACTGAAAAATAACAATAGATATTAACCGCTGTGTTTGCCAATTTAAACAGGTTTTGAAGTTTTTAATTAGAATTACCTAACTTATAGCCAAATATGTTTTCCTTTTATTGTTGGCATACAAGGGATTGATAGACAGACATAGGGAATACCAACAAAACATTTATATATAATCATATGATAAAAAATAACTGTATATAAAAATCAGAAGAAATGAAATACTAAAATTAATACACTGGTAAGGTACATGTTGAGGTAATAAAGACAAATTGACGTAACAAAGTTGTGAAAAACTGTACAAGTCATGATTATATTTAATAATAATAAATTAGCAGATATTCAGATTTGTAATTACACATGTAGTATAATCACGTGATTTGAAGATTCCTTGAAGTTTTTAGTACGTGAATATCCGCACGTTTCATTTATCCTTCTTTTAAATGCATTACTTCCCTAATAGATTTATAGTCTTCCACTAGTCCATGCAATAATATGTGGACGTAATAACCCCTCATTTAAACACATTGTACAAACATTTTAAAAAGAGAAAAGGAAGAATATTTGAACGTCCATTCCTTCATCGAATGTAATTGGAATCTAAAACTACAAAAGCAAACGAAATGAATATTTAAACAGATGTGACACCAATGTTTGTTGATATGTATTTGAAATAAATACATATTTAGAGGTAAACAATAGTTTCTAAAGGCCTGATTAAGTCACGTCTAGGTTCGATGTGTACAGTGATGTTTGTAATAGGAAGTGAACCCAAATAACAATGCTTGCTTATGCAATTGTGTGTTTGAGTATAATAAAATATGCACGCAAACGCGTGTGTCTTCCTATCTATATAAAAGATATTTGAAATATTTGTATTTGAGATAGGATATTAATCAATTACTCTGAAGTTGTTTGCCAGATTTTCAAACATCTACGAGTTGTAGAACATGGTTTAACTTATTTCACGTGACGCAATATCTTACATTTTTATTCTTTTTGTCTTTGAGGACATATGTTTTCAAATATTATTATTATTATTACTATTATTATTATTATTATTATTATTATTATCAATTTCCTTCAAAATGTATACAAAATTAAAGCTGTTTTTAGAAAAAAAAACTCTTTAAATGTTTATTCCCTCGTATGTGTAACTCTATAGGCCATAGGCTAAAGGAACACACTAATAGAATAGAGTATAAAAAACAAAAACAATTATAAAGAAAAACAATAAACACATAAAAGAATTTTCTTTGAAATTAATACTTAGATTTTAAAAACAGATCCATTCATATAATCAAAGCTTATAAAATCAAAATCTAAGCGATAGTGCACAACAACCATCCTCCGTGAAACAATCCATCAGAATGTCCATCTTTTGTTATTTGTCAATATTAAAGTATGCACTACCTTTGTGAATATGTAATTGTAATTAAGGAATGATTTATCTTTAAATAACCTGAAATATTACTTTTACATTCTAATATTTCTCCAGTGACTTGTTATTTATTTTCATTGTTGGCTTCTACGGAAGAAAACAAGAAAAAGATTATTTTATTTTATAACTGATAGAATATGAACAAATTAAAGACAGAATAATCAAAGCAATAAGTCATTGTTAACAATTTGCCATTTGTTAATAGTCGAGACAGAAGCAAGCATTGCTTTATTTTTTTGAATATGTAATTGTAATCAAATTAATGAGTAATTTCTCTATAAATATGCTGAAATGTTTTTGTTGACATTTTAAATTTTCTGCAGTTAATTTTATAACATTATTCTTATTTGTTTTTATTCTTTGGCATACATGAATATGTAATTTCTTTAAGCTTACAAATATTAACTAGCATTAATGTGCACAGTCAGTAATTATAACATGCATTTAACCTTTTTGTTTCATTTTTTTAATCCTCTAATCATAAGTAGAAACATTGGCGTAGGTACGGTTTGAGTGAATCTACAAGTTAGTACTATAGTGAATTGATAAACAACAACAACAAAACAACAACAAAACTTGTCAACAAGCACCAATATATTATGTAGAATTCAACTTTTTAAGCATATATAAATAATGCATATTAGATTGATCATAAACACTTTTTAGTCGATTCATTGCCAGTCGAGACAACAATTGAATCATGTACTTCAATATATTTTCCGTTTTATCATCAACAAATAGGTTAATGTAAAAAAATTGGTCTAACAAAAAAAAGTGAGAAACATAAAACAAAATTAAATACTTATGTAAGTTCTCAAGATGAAAATAATTGTGATGATTTGTGAACAATTTCAATGATGTTTTACATTAGCACGTGTGTTTCGTGTATGTTGTATGACTGTGAAATTTACTATGTCATATTCGACTAATCGAATTTTACAAATACTCACTTGTGCGGATTAATCACGAAACCAATCATTGAGATGAATAAATTGTTCAGTAAACACATTACTTGAATTTGTTGTAAGTCTGGGGCTCTAGACAAAATATGATGAAATCATGTGTTAAGCCAGTGCTGCTTGAATAAAGTAAAATAAGATAAAATAACAAAATGAAAACAACGACAAACGATCCCCTCCCCAAGCGCAAAAGCAAGAAATAAAGTTCTGAATTATGAATATTTTCAAAGTATTGTGAAGCATTAGAAATACTTATAATTGCTAAACTCTGTTGCCTCTGTTGACAGTTCTGAACGTTCATTTTTTAACATCACAGTTATATTATTTTTTTGATTTTATAAAATTAATATGTTTACTGGAGGTTAACGATAACATCAGGTAGCGAACAATTGAAGTTTTCATTTTCATTTCATTGTACCCCAACGTATTCACTGGAATCGTTGCCAATACTTATAAAATGGCTTTTTTGTTTTTGTTTGTAACAAAGTATTTCAGTTGAAATGTGTTTTATGTTACACGCTTAATGAATTTATCTCGTGTATATCCTTATGGAACAGAGCGGTACTAAGCAATGGGTGTAAAGTATTTTGCTGACAGAAACAACGACTTGCCCCTGACAGACACGATAACCGAACGTCATGGCAGCCACTCAATGTTTATCGTTGGTTATTTAATAATTGGCTGTTTCTAATATTCAATTGACAAAATTAAATAAGTACAGGCAGTTCTGCAACACTACAAACAAACGCTATTTTTTATTAATTACATGACGATAATTTATGCGTGATTAAAAGAAAACTAGTCTCATAACACTAAGAAACTTTTGCTGTCTATAACAGATAATGAAATATACTCTGCCCATAAACAAGGTAAATGACGTAAAAATTAGCGGAAATTGTAAATGAAAACGTTTTTTCTAATATTTTTGTGTTTTCTTTTCAATTTATTGATGTATTGATGTATTATGCTTTAAATAAATTATTCGGTAAATAATATATAATTATTTAAGCAATATGACAATTGTTATTCTTGTAGGCATGGTGCCTTTAGGTATAGTAAGGCAGTTTTAGTTATTGAGCCAAAGTTATTTTCTTGAGCTCCGATTAGTTAATTCTGGAAGCTATAATAAATGCTGAGAGCTACGAGTAATGAATGCACATGCATTGATTCGGCTCCAGATAGAACCCGCTTAATAGTTTATACTAATCGTAGGCTTTCTGTCAGCCAGAAAGCCTTTACCTAAAATGATAAAGACATTGTGATCACAATATTATTATCTTAAAACAAAGAAATTATCAAACGTAGAAAAACGCAGAAAACCTTAATTTGAAAAAATACAATTATGTAAATTTTATTTTCCAACAAAAATAATTCAGTGTTAGATACAGACATATTATTAAAAAGGTGATAATGAAATAGCTACGAATCTTTATCAAAACGAACCACCTGTTTCTGTTAAGCCGAAATTAAAGTTTGTAAAGTAATGTTATGATTGATGTGTCTTTGAATTGAAAAGCAATTATTTAAAGACATAGATACTTTTCAAAAATACTTGTGGAAAAACTTGTGGTAGACACCGATGAATTTGAGACGTCATAGACGTTTCAAATGAACTTAAAGTTTAAAGCACATTATTGATCTACAATTGAGTACTACAATAAGTATAAAGATATATATATTTCAGGCTCAAGATATAGAGAAGTAAATAATTTTAGTGTGTTTATGAGTATTTTGATATAATAATAATTTAGAATATTCAAAAAATGCAAGAAATTCTTGAAATTTTGAAGAAAGAAAGAGTAATATTAACAAGAGCTGTCGGTAGGACAGCAACGCGCGACTAGTCTTAGTGCTTGATAGTAAAAAAGCCTTGATTTAAAGGTAAAATTTTCTCAGTAAAGAAAAAGGCAAAATTTTTCTTTAAATCCATATTACAGTTATAGGCCTTGGAGAGAGTCCTATTATGCTCTCAAAGAAGAGTATAAAATTTCAACATGTTTCAAAGCCTTATGTCTATGAACTTTGAAAATATTTGAGGTATTACAAAAACTTTAACGTAAATTCTAAGTCGAAAAAGGGGCATAATTCTGTCCAAATACTTGATAGAGTTACCTCCTCCTGTTTACAGGTTGGGGTCATGACAGTCAACAAGTACATGCAAAGTTTTAAGGCCATATGTCAAAGGACTATGAAAATATTTGAGGTATTACAAAAACTTTAACGTAAATTCTAAGTTGAAAAAGAGCAATTATTCTGTCAAAATGCTTGATAGAGTTACCTCCTCCTATCTACAGGTTGGGGTCATGATGGTGAAAAAGTGTGCAAGGTTTCAAAACCATATGTCAATGGACTTTGAAAATATTTGAGGTATTACAAAAACTTTTACGTAAATTCTAAGTCGAAAAAGGGGCATAATTCTGTCAAAATGCTTGATAGAGTTACCTCCTCCTGTCTACAGGTTGGATTCATAATGGTAAACAAGTGTGAAAAGTCTCAAAGCCATATGTCAAAGGACTTTGAAAATATTTGAGGTATTACAAAAACTTTTACGTAAATTCTAAGTCGTAAAAGGGGCATAATTCTGTCAAAATGCTTGATAGAGTTACC